CGCCCCCCCCCCCCCCAGCACTCTACCACTGAGCTGTGTTCCCATCCCTACACTGTGAATGCTAAGGGCCCAGAATCCAGCATCACAGCAGGATGTCTTAAGTGAACTGACAGGGGTGTGCCGTACCCCAGTGCTTGAGCAGAGGCTCCTCCAAACCCCAGTGATCCACCACACAGTCATAGACATCTTCAGTGGTCGGCAGGAAGGTCAGATAGTAGAATTTTCGGAAGAGGTGGTCCTCCCTGGGTAGAAAGACTGTTTCTGACACGCCGGTGGTGACAGGCTGTCCATTCCGAAGCCAGGTGACATTGACCACTGGTGGGGAGAACTTGTCGATGAAGCAGATAAGGATGTTGGGCTCCCCCAGGCTGACTGGACTGTTGGGGAGCACAGTCACCTCTGGAGATACTGTGGAAGACATGGCATGAATTGGCCTTCATTCCCTCAGCATGCTCCTCTCCTCACCCTGGCATGTGGTTCAATTCTACCCCAGGACTCTACAAGCTGTGCCCTGAGGCGTCATGCCATCAATAACCAGCTCTGGCATCTGGAATCAGTATTGAGGTATGCGATACCTGCCCACATCCACCCCGACTCCCATCCTAACTCCCCCTGCTTAGACTCAGGCGATGAGTGATAGTGTATGAAGTAGCCAAGACTAGAACAGCCAAGATGGCCTAAGTTTCTAAAGTCCCTGAGCCTGTGGCCTGAGAATCTATTTTAAAGCTGAGTCCCCATATCCGGGAGGAAGTGGTACAGAACAGAGGTGGATACCATTGACATCTGGGGTGTGGTTGGAACGCTTTATCATGATGTCCAGGTTAGCTTTGTCCACAGCTATATTGGCCAAGGCACCCTGAGCTTCAAAGCTGGCAAACTGTCCAAATTCCTCAAGTCTCCAGATGGTCTCTGACTTTCTAATATCCACGTGGAAAATCTCATCACCATCGAAATCAAACATAAACTCTCCCTTTTCGTCTGGGGAAAGAAAGAACTCCGCAGCCTGGGTGAGGGACATCCACGGTGAGCAGAGCAGGGAGGCGGGAAAGAAGGGAGCCTTGGGAGCAAGGGATGCAACACAGCCCTCTTTGTTAACCCCACGTCAAATTCGTGTTGTCCTTGCATGCATGAGGATGAGGTCACCCACTACAGCATGCCGCCACCCCCTAACACACGCCAAAAGAAAATAACTCTCCCTAGGCAGCTACCAACTGTAAACAGCTCCTCAGCTAAGGGCAGGGTCTCCAGAGTCACTTCCCCCTCAGTGCCGGATTGTTTAACTGGCTTGTGCGGGTTATCGTTTAACAGCTGCTGCAAGTTCGTTCATGTGTGCAACATCCATGTCATGTCTGAAAGACAGGACCTCACAGCAGCCCTCCCCATCCTGGCTCTTACATTCTTTCTGCCCCCTCTTCTGCATTGTTCCCTGAGCCCTGAGGAAGAGGCAGGTTGACTCAGAAAACATAGTTTTGAGTGGGTGTTTGATGACTTCATGACTTTAGGAATCTAGCAGCATTGCATGGGAAAGAAAGGCTCTGTGCTTCCTGTTGTGAGGGTGTAAATCGCTTAGGTCAGCACACCAGCAGGATTAGGAACTCTGGAACCTAATACAGCCATGACACCTGATTCCTTTACACACGCTGTGATGGGAGCAGATCACTACTTCATAGTGAGCTTCCAATCACAGCTCTCCAGTGAGATCGGTTCTACCAGGATGGGTTTGAGACAAGAACTCCCTTAGCACCTCTGACATTCTGTGAACAGAAACTGCTTTAAGCACCAAGGACCAGACCCTTAGAGACATCAGTGGAGCCTGAGGTGCCCAGGAGGTTGAGACGGAGCCCTGGCAATGTTATGAACCACTTACACTCACTTCTAGGCTTCCTCTGTGAGAAGGGGCATACCTGGGTTGATCTTGAAACTTGACTCTTGTCTACACACTACTTAGATTATGACTAAGCTTTTGTGGGACATGGCCTGTTGTGACCGGCAAGGAGAATAACCAACAGTGAGGGAGATGAGGAGACCATTGCTTCTGTGTTGTCTTTAAGAATAAGGTGACTGATTTCAATGTTTGACCAAGGGATTTATTTACAGTTGCCTCTATGCACAAACATATATTCTAGACTGCTCTTCCCTCCAGCCACGCCCCCACAGGAAAAGCATCTGTCTTTCTAAGTCCTAGGGCAATAGAAGCCCAAACTCGCTGTTTTCATGATTGGAGTTGGGTTTCCACTTTACTTATTTCTTTCTATCTACAGCGGTCCAGAGGGTCCCTTGGATGCAGAGACCTTCTCACATCAGGTGTTTGCATCAGCACAGAACATTTGCTTTGGAGAAGATGACAGAGTCCAATGGTTAGTCTCCACTTACTCATGTGTATACTCTCCGGTAAACAGAGCTCAGCAGTGGTGACCTCTGACCTCGTAATGTCTGCTGTGTCACACAAGTGGTGGGCGTCCCTACCACTGCCCCAAGAGTCAGTCAATGAAACACACTTCCTATCGGTGTGCCTGCCCCGCCCCCTGCCCATCCTCTTGGGTAGATTTGGGAGCGGGGGGTGGGAGGTTGATGACCTTTCTTTCTAATGATCTTAAATACAGTGTCTGTGGCTGAAATACAACAGGATTGACATGGCAAAAGTGAACTGAAGAACAGCACTAAGTTCTTCTCAAATATTTTTTTCCCACTTAATCTTCACAACATTGTGTGGGACTTCCAATTATTAACTTTCTATAAAAAATTAAAACCCAGATATATGACTCATTGGTGCCTTTTAAAAACTACTTCCACATAGCCTCCAAAGTCTAGCCTCTGGTGAGATGGCGGTCCTGGCAACGAATGCCCTGGCTTGCCTGGCTCAACTAAGTCTGGCCTACTTCATGTTGGAAGGAAGAATTTCTCCCAAAGTATAACTGCATCACAACCTTCGGATTCAGACTTGAAGGGTACTTGTCATTTTTTTTAAAAAAGATTTTATTTATCTATCTATTATTATGTATATAGTCTTCTGCCTACATGCCAGCAGATTTCATTCCAGGTGGTTGTGAGCCACCATGTGGTTTCTGGGAATTGAACTCAGGACCTCTGGAAGAACAGTCAGTGCTCTTAACCGCTGAGCCATCTCTCCAGCCCCCAGTGCTTGTCATTCTTATCTTTCAGTCCCAAGACTGTCTCACAAATGCCCACTGTGCCTTTCTCCAAAGCCGCTGTCCCTGGCTCCGCTTTTCTTGGCACTTACCTTTGATAGCCCATGACTTCTGGGGGCTCAACAGGACAGCCATGAAGAAAAGTCTTAACACCAGGGCTCCAGTTGTGGCCATTTTCTTCTTGGTGTTCGGTGGGGTCAGAAGAGATCACAGACTGAGGCAGAAATAACAAGAAGGAAAGGGGATTAAAATACAATCACTTCAGTTTTAGCCAATCAGAAAAATCTTTCAGGCTGACACATCTGTTGCTAGGGAAAGGACTTGAGCAAATAGGTCCCGGGCAACTCACTATTTAATATCCTATTCTCTACTTATCTTTTCAAGAAAATGATTCTCTTCAAGAAGAATTTTCTCCATTTATTAAACAAAACAGAGTTTTTAGACAAACTAAACAAAAAATTTCAAGTGTTTTGGAAACACATTCGTGAGGATAGAATAGATTTAAGAATCACTGACATGAAAATGTAGATTGTACCTCTGAGAATGGCAGCTCAGAAGACTGATTTTAAGGGACGCTGAATCATCTAAGGAAAAACTGAACAGCTGAGCCATGGAGAATGCCTGGATTCTGGTAACAGAATGTCACTCACGTCCCCCCCCCCCGTTGCTGGCTACCTCTCCATCCCAGTGTGCTGGACCCCAGCATGGTCAGCTCAGCCTGAGATTCCAGGGCCATTGGCATCTGCTGTATTCTGAGAACATCAGATAATAAACTGAGTCCCAAGGCTCCCAAGACTAGAGGGGCTGTGTGGGGCACCTCCTCCAGCTTCTGTCATGGCCAGAATGCGACCTGAGGGTAAAGCCTCCTCTGGGTGTTCAGATCACCTTTAAAGAATGGCTTAGGCACCGCTTATTCCACTGAGGACAGGAAAGCGATGCTCACAGGAGGACCTTACTGCCCTGTAGCCCGCATCAATGGGCTGTGGACGTTGTCCTGTCTTACAAGGGTTGAAGTTCTGAGACAAAAGTGTGTTCTGAGATTCTCCAGAGAGGCCTCTGAAGATGAAGAGATTTTACATCTCTTGTTTCTGAAAACATAATGTAAAACAGGAAAATATTTAGTCGCACACAGAAAGGACTGAGATCCAGTGAAGAGCCAGCGAGGCTGCCCATCTGGTGCCGAATGTCAGTCGGATGGAGACTGCTCAGGATGGATCGTCCACACTGTAGTGTGAGGTCCTATTTGGCCATAGAAAGAACCCCACAGACTAGGACTGTAGCCATCCTCTGACTGCTGATGGTCTCATCATGCCAGGGGCTTTAGACATCTGGTATTAAGCCCCAGGTCACTAAGAGGAGACCAACAGTGCAGTTCAGTCCAGAGTGTTAGGTACCCGTTTCCTGGAGGCAGGAGCGTCCCATAGGATCATTCCAGGCAGAGAGGTTGATGCTGAAATTCTATGATGTGGCCTGACCACCTTTTCCAGAGCCAAATCCAAACACAATTTTTGCATCTGTCTTTTGCAAGCTTCTATAATGCCATGTTCTTGGCAAGTGAGTTTAAAGTACTTCCAGATACACAATGCTGCTCAGCAACTTATGATGCTGCCTTGGTCCCCTGTGCTGATTGGTTCTACTTGGGAGATTATTAAACTAGACTTCAGAAAATCACTCTCAGTTCCCCTTCTCTGTGACGGGAGGAAGTTTCTATCTGAACACCATTTGTGGTTTCCTGTTCTCCCAAACTCTAGCATCTCATGTGTCTGAGGGGATTTCTGAAGCCACCTGAATGACATTTACTTGGTGACAATCGACTGTGATGAACCGCCAGTCATAGTTCCTTCAGGAAACATAATGGAAAATATCACAAGAAGTATATATACCCTGAGGCTGGGAGGACACTGGTCAGGGTGGACCTTTTAACCTCAAGTGGCCAGAGGCCTCTGGGAAGTCCCACTGATGTCAGTTCCTGCAGAGCCCACGGGACACAGAGGAACAACTACTGAGGGTGTCACCTGTGTCTGCTGCCTATGTCCAAGCCTGCGACAGCTGGCACACTGCAAGACCCGGGTCCATCGTATTCCCTACCACCCAGACCACAAAGTTTGGACCCCACACTCAAAAATGTGTGTTCAGAAAATGGAGGGTGGGAAAACCCACATGTTCCTGAGAGCCAAACAGGGCCTCAGAGGCAAGGGGGAATCGAATAAAGATTACTGACTGTATGTGAATATAATTACCATGCACTACAGATTGTCTTCACTATCCCACTCTAATTCCTCCCCAGCATGAGAGTGAGCACTTCCACGCTGGGCCCAGATCAATTCTGGGGCTTCAGCGCATTCTAGGTTTGTGTAGCCTGAGTTCTGCTAAGCCCCAGCTCCCGTTTTTTTGGCATCCCTTCCCCTATCAGCTTCTGCACCCTGAGCTGCTAAGTATCACATCCCATTCTGCTCTTTTTGCTTTAGGATTGATTTTTTGTATAGCTCGGTGAACAGTGTCATTGTTATTTCCCCAGAGGTGACACTGAATCACTAAATTACCTTTAGTAGAATAGCAATTTTGACGATATTAATTCTTCTAAACAACAAACATGGAAAGTGTTTTCATTTCTGCATCTTCTTCAGTTTCTTTTTCTGTTCACTTAATTTATTCATTTTTTGGAATACTAGGGGTTAAATCTGGGGCCTCATCTCATGCCAGGAATGTTGCTCCTCCACCAAACTATAACCCAGCACAAAACTGTTGTATAATCCCGAGACAGGTTCTCAGCTAGGCGGGCCTAGGACTTGCTTTGCAGCCCTGGTGAAGGGGTTTTCATCATGCTGAGGCAGAGTTACAGGACACCAGCAAGCCTGGCTTCTTCAACTTGTGACTATTAAGAGTTGAGTTCCTTTCACAATTTCTTCCTTAGAAAAGCCTGTTGCTGGGGTGCAGGAGAAGCTATTGGTTTTTTTCTTCCTTTTTTAATTTTCTTTTTTTTAAAACAATCTTTTTTATTTTACATACCAATCCCAGTTCCCCCTCCCTCCCCTCCTCCTACTCTCCTCACCTTCTCTCAACTCACCCCCCATCTGCTCCTTAGAGAGGGGGAGGCCTCCCTGTCATGGGGAGTCAGCAAAGTCTATCAAGGCCCTCCCCCCTGTATCTAGGCTGAGAGAATATCCCTCCAAAAAGCCAGTTCATGCACTAGGGATAAAACTGGTCCCACTCCTAGCAGCCCGACAAACTGCCCAAGCCACATAACTGTCACCCAAAATTCAGGGGGCTAGCTTGGTCCTATACAGGTTCCCCGGCTGTCAGTCTGAAGTCACCGGGCTCCCACTAGGTCAGGTCAGCTGTTTCTGTGGGTTTCCCCGTCATGGTCTTGACCCCTTTGCTCATGTGATCCCTCCTCCCTCTCTTCGACTGGACTCCAGGAACTCAGCCCAGTTCTTGGCTGTGGATCGCTGCATCTGCTTCCATCAGTTACTGGATGAAGGTTCTATAATGGCAATTAAGGTAGTCATCAGTCTGATTGCAGGGGAAGGCCAGTTCAGGTACCCTCTCTACTATTGCTTAGAGCCTTAGATGGGGTCATTCATGTGTGTTTCTGGGAATTTCCCTAGTGCCAGGTTTCTCAATAACCCCATAGCGGCTCCCTCTTATCAAGATATTTCTTTCCTTGCTCTCCCTCTCTGTCCTTCTCCCAACTTGACCATCCGGTTCTCAAACGTTCTCCCCACTCCACTTCTCTTTGTCCCCTCTCCTCCCTCCCCCCTCCCCCCAACACTCCCAATTTACTCAGGAGATCTTGTCAATTTCCCCTTTCCAGGGGGATCCATCCATGCATGACTCTCTTAGGGCCCTCTTTGTTACCTAGCTTAGGAGAAGCTACTGGTTTTGTTTGTTGATTGTGTCCTGCCACGTTACTGAGTTTATCAGTTGTGGGGGTCTTTAGGTGGAGTTGGGCTTTCCTAGTTAGAATGAAATCAGACCCAGATGCAGTGTGTTAAGTCCACATGGATTCCTGAAACTAAACAGCTGCAAATTGTTTCCTATTCCAGTGATATGAATTGAATAAGGGGCTATAGCCTCCGGAGATGTAATTCTCCTTTCTCCCTGTGAACTACTAAGTTTTCTATGTATTTACAAGTAACATTTACCCTAATACTGAAAATACAGCATCCCTAATACTCCGGCCTCCTTCCCCCAAACCCAGAGAGAACTTTGAGGGACCCCCACGCCCAGTCTTTTAGTCCAAGCAAGCTCCGTCCTCTCTGACGATGCTCTTGACTCCTCCAAAGCCTTTGAACTGTTGCAGCAATCACGCCTGAGCTATCTACTCTTAGAATTTCCGCTTTTGAGGTGTGTTTTAAGAGTTCCAGGCGAGGAAACGTGGCTGCAGTTTTGAAGCTGACAGAGCAGCCTCTCTCCCTCTCTCCATCTTCCCCACCTCCCAGCAAAGCTTTGGTCCTGGAATTGCTCTGGGGTCCTCGGGAGACTTGACATAGTAGGTAAGAGCATTTCAATATTTTTACCCCTGCCCCATCCCCAGGCCCTGAATTGAGTTTGCTATGAAATACAAAACAAAAACAAAAACAAAAAAAAAAACAAAAAAAAACCAAACACCACAATGTGATACAAACTTGATACAATGATGGATTCAAAGTTACTATTTGTGAAGCTTTGGGGCAGGACACCTTGAAACGCTAGCATCTGTCCTTGGACAAAACCGCCACCTACTGGTCACACATGGAACTGTCCTCATTGGGGTGCAATTCACAGAGGTGGAGCCATGCATGAGGTCAGATGGATCAAGACAGCAACCAAGGGAAGGGACCCAAGAAGAATGGGGTGAGTTTCAGGGTTGCAAATGCTGGGGGGCTGGTATCCGGGAAGCTTCACTTCTAATTCTTTTCTCAACTAGGGTGCTCCTTTTGTTCCCAGTGTGACATGAGCCTCAGGGTCTGAAGTGTTGAAGGCCGTGCTTCTCCCGTTTGTTCCCTGGACAGGGCAGCCGTGAGCCGACTTTGAGAGAAGGGGCCTGCTGACCAATATTCCAAACTGAAGCTCTAGGTTCAGGCTGGACCCTCCAGGGTCTGTGAGAGGAGCTGTGCACCCAAGAGGATTAGTGACTGACCCCGACCCGGGCAAGTGAAGAGCCCTGAACTCCGGGGTGCTCTCACCTCGCAGGGCGGTGTGTGCCAAAGTGTCAAGTGGGCAGGCATGTTCAAAGCTGTAGGAACTGGAATTAAGCACTCGTCTGGACTCTGGTTCTTTGAGGTCCTGGGGAGTTTGAAGGATTGGGGCACACCCCGTGAGTGATCCTCCCAGCTCTCCCAGAGGCACCTGGCTTGGATCTGCAGCAAAATCGATTTTATCATTTTCAGAAAACAATAATTGGAGAGTTGAAAACAATAATTTCACACTTGTAAAATCTCTTAACGTCAACTTGAAAGTAAATTTAAAGTTTAAGTGAAAAAAATTAAGCATTCAGAGGAACTGGTTTTGAAAGACCCGCTCGGAATACTTCTGCATGCCCCCTGCCCCTCTGTCTTCCCCGCCTGTGCCAGTGCTAGGTGTTCTCCCTGGAGCAGGCAGGAGGAGCAGTTGACCGAGGGCAGCGCGGCGGGGACTGAGCAGGGCAGGGCCAGGGTTCGGCCAGGGGCTGGAGAGTGCAGCGCAGGCGGCGCCTGGAAGGGGAACTTGAGCTGGGAGAGCAGCGATGCTGCTTGTCCAGGAGCTGCGAGCAGGGAGCCAAGGACATGGGGGCCGTGGAGCTGCCGGGGCCTCCCAAGCCTTCAGGCAGGCTGACCTAAAATAACTCTGTTCCTCATTAAATTGTCCAATAGAATCCCTGTAACTATGCTTTTCGCTTCTGCACTGTGCTTTTAGCTATATAAGGACCCCTCTCCCTTGGCTCGGGGCTTGGCCTAACAAAAGCTAAGCCCCCGGGTAAGCGCGCCACCAATAAAACCTCTTGCTTTTGCATCCAAAGTTTGTGGTTTCGCCGATTCCTGGGTGCGGGTCTCCTTCTACGAAAGTACCTCTTCTGAGGTCTTTCAGTTTGTCAGAACTTTTTGTATTCTTGGACCATGATGAACCCAACAGTGCAAAGAGCTCTGTAGCAGACAGATGCCAGAGCTAAGAACTGCCCACTCTGAAACTTAAATGCCTGGGAGTGCCACACACTGACCTCCCTGCCTCTGCCTCTTCTATCTCCTCTTCCCTCTTTCCTCTGTCTTTCCCTCTCTCTCTTTCCTCTCTCTTCCCTCCCTCTCTCTCTCCCCCTGTCTCTCTTTCCCCCTCCCCCCTCTCTCTCCCTTTCCTTCCCTTGCTCTGGCCCCACCCTCATCCTTGTTTTCTTAGTGTTTTAGCTCTCTTTACTTCTATGGGACTTCAAGGGGCAAATCTCTGCTGAAAGGTTTTCCTAAGAAAGTCCATTGACTACAAACTCCTGGAGTGTCGTGACCGCTCTACTCCTGTGATGTCATCGATGCTCTGCTCATCTTGCCTCTTCATTCTTATGAGGCTCATTCCATGAAATGGTGCCTCCCGAATTCAGGACTGAGTCTTCCCGACTCTCCTAACCCTACTAAGATTTTCCCTCACCAACCCCATCTACGCAGTCCTTAATTGGGTCAAGCTGACAATTAAAACTAACCATTGCAAAGCCAGGCAGTGGTGACACACACCTTTAACCCCAGCACACAGGAGGCAGAGGCAGGTGGATCTCTGCAAGTCTGAAGCCAGCCTGGTCTACACAGTGAGTTCCAGGACATCCAGGGCTACACAGAGAAACCCCATATCAAAAAAGAACACACACAAAAAAAACTAATGATTACAAACAGGGCACAACCCTTTCATCCTGAGGGAGAAAGGCCCCTTGTGTCCTTCTCCTTCACCCCTTTTGTGAATCTCCCATGCTGCTCTGTGGGGCCTCGTCAGGGTCAGCATCCTGAGAGAGAAGGGATCAAAGCAGGCAGTTGGACCAACCCTGGGGCTTTGTATGCTTCTGCTGCTACACTGCTACAATGAGGAGAATTTTTCCAAGGGGGCTAAACACAGCTCTGCCCCACTCCTGAGAGTGGGTCTATGTAGGGGACCAAAATATTTCCCCTATGGAATATTTGAGATTCAGCCTTGGGTCTCACTAAACATGGAACACCGGAAAGCTCCGGCCCACTATTGTATTGTTAATGTCAGTAAGGCTACTACTGTTTACCATGGCCTCAGGGTGATATGCCTATTATTTGCATCTATATGTGCCTAAGCATCTGAATAGGCCCTCACCTGGGCAGAGGAGAGAGAGGTGTGAGTAACTTGTGAGGACAGAAGGTTAGGAGTTAGGGGGCGAGCGGCCAGAGAAGAGAGGGACAAAGAGGATGATTCCCTCGTGGTATTGGCAGGACGGTTAAGAAACACCAGAAAAGATGGCTAATAAAGAAATGACTCTAGTTCCACAACATGGAACTGAGAGCTCTCTGAAGATGACAAGATGTCTGTGTTTGATCTTTATCAACGTTGGGTTGCTGGGAGCTTCCAGGTCCACACCCCCCCACTCAGGCCGAACCTCATGGCTGTCGTGGGTTAAAGCTGAGACAAGCTGGGTCACGACAGGTCTATAGACCTCCTCACTAGCCTGGAAGAATTCAGAGGAACCCCAAGGAAGGGCTGTGGGAAGAGGAGGACACACCAGGGTGCCCAACGCCCTCCATTGTATCCACACACTGTGTCAGGAACTTTATCAAATTTCTCTGTTAAACCTTGTTTTCTAGCAAAAGAGATTTTTTTTTTTTTTGAGACAGGGTTTCTCTGTGTAGCTTTGGAGGCTGTCCTGGCACTCGCTCTGGAGATCAGGCTGGCCTCGAACTCACAGAGATCTACCTGCCTCTGCCTCCGAGTGCTGGGATTAAAGGCGTGCGTCACCAACGCCTGGCTGCAAAAGAGATTAAAACAACAACAACAACAACACACACACACACACACACACACACACACAAAGTGACACACAGGGTACCTTGGCCTGATGCTCTGGCCTTTTCAGGGAAGGAATGTCCCTGCCTTAGTTTTCTCCTCAGTAGGGTTAAGACAGACAGTCATGTTCCCAACCCTGCAAGACCAAAGACTTGGTGGAGCTTGGCCCCATGTGGGGAATGGTAGCTGTTCAGCAAGCTGTCAGGTGAGACAATTGTAGCCACGATGTGGGGTGCTACCAGACCGTAGATTGCCGCTACCGCAGGCTGCCTATCTGCTGGGCAGGGTGTGGCACAGGGTCCAGCCTGAGTGCTGGGGTTCTGACGAGGCAAATGCCAGTGTTATATCTGTGCCTAGAAGTCTATCAAAATCAGAGCAGAGTCCAGTCAAAGTCCACCCTCCCTCTGAGTTTCGCTTTTGAGCATATTGCAGTGGCTGGAGGTGAATGTGCTGTTCTGCTTGGAGCCTCCTGTTACAGTGAACCTTGGGGACTTGGCTCTGCCTCCAGGTGAACAACATTCAAATTGCCCTTCACCCAAAGATGCCTCCACTTCCCCTGGCTGCTCCACAGTTGCCTCTCCAGCCAGTGTGTCCTGGGCTCATCTGGCTTTAGACGCCTGCCATGTGGACCAGGGACATACCTCTGTTTGAGTGAGACAACACAACTCAACAGCCTCGATTTCACCCCAAAGGAGAGACAGGTGAGTGGCTTGGGGAGTCTCTAGAGAAAGATAGACATGGGACTTGGGGAAGTCTACTAAAATGAGGAAGTAAGGCCTGTGCACAGCCAGCATCCTGTCAGGGAGTGACCACCAGTTACAAAGGCTCTCACTTCCTGTTGAGCTCCACGGCACATTTTTTTCAGAGAGTGGTGTTCTGAGGCAGGCTCTCACTATATAGCTCATGCTGACTTCCAACTCATGGTAATCCTCCTGCCTCAGCCTTCTAAGTGCTGGGATTATAGTGAGCCGTCCCGCCAAGCTGCATCTTTCTTTCTTTCTTTCTTTCTTTCTTTCTTTCTTTCTTTCTTTCTTTTTGTCTCTTTAGCTCTCTCTGGGCTCTGTTCATTCCAATCAGAAAGTTTCTTTCCGCTCAGGTTGGCCTCAAACTGGACATCCCCCTGTCTCATCCTGTTCAGTATTTGCCACCTGGTATATGGAATTTCAATCTCAAAACTCACTAGAGGTAGAGGGTGGAGTTTCAGGCCATCCTTGGCTACACAGCAAGTTAGAAGCCAGCCTGGGCTACTACGTGGGCCCTGAGAGGGGTGGAGCCTAAGGAGTAACTCATAGGGAGAGGTCAAATGTGATCAATAACTGCAAAGAACGGAGACAGACCATGGTTTCACCGAGGCGGATCTGGTGTTGATTGTTTACGAAAATGACACAGCCATCAGACACTGCCCTAGCTTGCTCTCTGAGCAAAAGCAACCTGGGGCGGAAAGGGTTAATTCCATCTTACCATCTACCAGTGAAGGCAACACTGCTTACTGGCTTTCCCTCTTTGGCTTGCTCAGCTTGCTTTTTTATATCAAGCAGCCCCATCTGTCCAGGGGTGTCATCGCCCCCAGTGGGCTGGACCCTCCCTCATCGATCGTTAATCAAGAAAACGGTACAGACTTGCCCACAGGCCAATCTGATTGAGGCAGTTTCTCCATCGAGGGTCCCTCTTCTAGCTCAGCATTTCTCAACCTATGGGTGGCAGGCGACTCCTTAGAGGGTCCAACGAACCTTTCACAGGGGTGGCCTAAGACCATCGGAAAACAACAGACGTTTGCGTTATTATTCACGACTATCAGAACCACAGTTATGAAATGGCAACAAGAAAACACTGTTGTGGTTGGGGTTACAGCATGAGGAATTGTGTCAAAGGGCCGCAGGGTTAGACAGGTCGAGAATCAGCTCTGCTCTAGCTTGTGCCAAGTTGACAAAAACAAACAGCTAACAGCGGAGAAACTGTGCTGGGTGTATCACAGCAGCACTTTCTCCCGTGTTTGCTCCAGGCAGGATGGCGGATTGCCCAGGGTACAGTCTGTCTGGCGTGGCTGCCTCCTTGCTCTTCATTCTGCTGACTGTGAAGCACCCAGGTAGGGTCCCTCCCTCCCTTGCTGGCACGCCCTGAGGATCTAAGTTGCACAACCCAACTAGACAGTGCAGTAACTCAGGGTGTGGAGGTCCAGGGCTCACGCTGGGCTGTCCCACCCCGGCTCCGGAAAGCTCTTGACTTAGGCAGCTGTGAAAGTCCCTAGGAAAACGAGCGTCACTGGGTAGCTGGAGCATGCGCCGTTTTCATCCCGTGGGTAAGACGTCAGCATGTAAATGCCAGCGGCTGGTGACACAAGATCTCTGTTTAAGTTCTGGAGAGCCTTTTTGAGCAGTATCTATTTTATTTCATCTTAAATCTGAGTGAAATAAGTTTATCCTTATGGCTTATTAGCTTTTAATGTTACATGGGGGGAGGGGCTCAAGTGTGTGGAAGTCAGAAGACCATTGGCCAGAGCTGTTTCTCTTCTTCCACCATGTGTACCCTGGGACTTGAACTCGCTTCTCCCGGCTTGGCTGCAAGTGTCTTTCCCTGCTAAGCTTCTGAGGCCCTTCCTCTCCCTAGACAGGGTCTGTCATAGCCTAGGCTGGCCTCTAACTCACATGGTAGTCCAGATGAGCTTGAACTCCTGATATTCCAGCTGGGGCTGCAGAGGAAGAACGTGGAATAAATGACATTTGAAATTTTTAGGCATAGCAACTGTACTTGCTGGTTTTGTGTGTCAACTTGACACAAGCTAGAGTCATCAGAGGAAGGAGCCTCACTTGAGGAAATGCCTCCATGAGATCCAGCTGTAAGGCATTTTCTCAGTGATCAATGGGCAGGGGCCCAGCCCATGGTGGATGGGGCCATCCCTGTGCTGTTGGTCCTGGGTTCTACAAGAAGCTGGGTTGAGCAAGCCATGGAGAACAAGCCAGTCAGCAGCTCCCCTCCATGGCCTCTGCATCAGCTCCTGCCTCCAAGATTCCTGCACGGTTTGGGTTCCTGATGAACAGCAATGCTGAAGTGTGAGCCAAATAAACTCTTTCTCCCCCCAAATGCTCTTTGCTCATGGTGTTTCGTTGCATCAATAGAAACCCTAAGACAGCAACCTACAGAATTATCAAACATTTTCAGATATCAAGGTAGCTGACTTAAAATTTGACCAGAAGACTCAAATTTTCTAGGCTAGTCATGCCTCTGTGAAACCCACATTTGCCACCTACTGGACTTTGGCTTTCTCCAAAAGGAAGGAAATAAACCAAGTCAGTTCCCTCCCTGGAGTGAGCGACCCTGGAAGGCTGCAGTACCTAGTGGCATTGTTGATTTACGCAAACTCAAAATGGCTATAGAATCAAGATAAAGCTCCCCATGGAAATACCAACTCACACATCAATTATTTGGGGATGAAGCCCAGTGGTGTTGTCACTGTTAGTGCCTTAAAGTTGGGTGGTTTAAGAGTACAAATCTCAGGGCAGGAGAGGCCGTGGCTCCATTGTTGACAGTGCTGAATGCTCTTCCAGAGGCCCGAGTTCAGTCACTAGTACCGATGACAGATGGCTCACAACCACCTGCAACCCCAGCTCCTAGGGATCTCATGCTCTCATCTGGTCTGCACACACATGTGTGTACCCATACAAAGGTGCATAACTAAAAATAAAATACTTTTAAAAAATCCCAGATTTCAAAGGATTCTTAACCATGGAATTGCCTCACGATCACAAGGCTGGTTGGTGATAGATTCATGCTCAAACTTTTAAACTTTAGGATACAATGTTTCTTTTTTAACCAGAAAAATGTGCAGATTCCCATGCTTGGGTTCTCTGAAACATTGACACGAAATCCTGCCTGCCTCCTGGCACCAAATCCCAGCCCCTCGGCTGCTCAAAGCGAGCATCCCCATCCTCTCTCTGTTTCCCTTTCACTGCTCTGTAGATGAATTCAGGGTCACTGGTCCTGCCCTTCCCGTCCTGGCCAAAGTTGGGGAAGATGCCCTGCTGACATGTCAGCTCCTCCCCAGGAGGACAGCAGCACACATGGAGGTGAGGTGGTACCGGTCCGACCCCGATGCGCCTCTGATTGTGCACCGGCATGGAGCCCAGGTGGCAGGGCTGCAGGTGGAAGGCTACAGAGGCCGGGTGGAGTGGACAGAGGACAGTGCTGACGAGGGAAGTGTGTCTCTGAGGATTCGCCAGATCCACCCAGGTGATGACGGGCAATACTGGTGCCGATTCCAGGAGGGGGACTACTGGGGAGAGGCGAGCGTGCTGCTCCAAGTGGCAGGTAAGGGTCCTGTTTCCCATTGCCCTCTCCTGGCTCCCTCCTCCACCCCATAACTGCGGCCTGCTTAACATGACGGTCTCCTGCTTCATCCACTCCCTACGAATGCCTTAATTTAATCCTTTTTGAGAGAATAAACTGTATTGTGGGAGCTGGAGCAATGGTTCAGCAGTTAGGAGTGTTTGTTGCTTTTCCAGAGGACCCAGATTTGATTCCTGCACCAACACAGCAGCTACAACCTCCTTTAACGAACCCAGTTCCGGGGCATCCAATGCCTTCTCTGGCCTCCACAAGCGCCAGGCCCACGTGTGGGGCACAGAGGCTCATGCAGACGACACCCATACACGCAAAATACAATTTAACAAAGCACTATTGTGCATTCATATCCCATTTTCTTTATCCACTCATTTTTGGGTGGGCATGTAGGCTGGTCCCACAACTTGGGCTTCGACTGGGCTTTGGGAAGAGTTCTGCAGTGAATGAAATGGACTTAAATTCCCTTGGGTGTTTTCCCAGAAGTGGGACAGTGGGGTTACACATCCATTTTGCTTTTAGTGTTTTTGAGAAACTTCCACACTTAACATTTTTTTTTTCTTGACTCTCATGGTTGAAATTGTTCCCATCACTGTGTTCGATTGATTCAAAGTGGATGTGAGAATCTGTATTTCTGAGATGCAAGCCGACCTGGACACTGATTGCGTCACACTGGGGGACTTTTAGAATTAAGCCAGGTGTTTCCTCTGGGCACAAGTGAGTGGCTTATTCATTTATTCCCTCAGCCGGTAAACGGTTGTGATATTAAAGAAGGCACTTCATGACTTATACAAATTAGTTAGACTTCCCCATTGAAAAAAATTTAAGGTACAGTAATTTTCCATGCATTTACTGCGTGCCAAAATTGCAACTGCCGACGGAAGAAACGGAAGTAGCCCATGACTGTGATGTCTGAGTTTAATAATAAATACCTAATTTAAATTAGAGTCCAAATATCATTCTAAAACAGCAGGCGTGGCACCTTGGACAGAGAACACTGAGAACGGGAAAAAGTGTATCTGGGGGCACAGATGCTATCGCGAATAAACACATCACATCTCTGCAGCGCCAGAGACACAAAATGAATTCTGTCATGTTTTCCTCCTCTCCCTTTTCACCATCTGAATCTGAAGAAAAGTATGGTCGGATGCTAAAGCTTAAAGACACAGAATGGGGAACAAATAAAGAACCAGAACTCAGTTGAGTGGGGAGAAACCCTGGTAACTCGCTTCCGGGTCCGGAGCTCCCACCTTCTCCCAGGGTCTCGGTTCCCTCTGGAATTCTGTGGACTTCAAGGATGTTCTCTCTCTCTCTCTCCCTGTCTCTCACCCCTCTCTCTTTCCCTTCTCCCCCTCCTTCCCTCTCTCCCTCCCCTCTTTCTCTCTCTCCCCAGCCCTAGGATCAAACTCAAACATCCACATAGAGGGACCTGGAGAAGGAGAGGTCCAGCTCGTGTGCATCTCCCAGGGCTGGTTCCCTGAGCCTGGGGTCTACTGGGAGGGCAGCTGGGGAGAAAAGCTGTTGAGCTTCTCTGAGAATCACATGCTGGGTGAAGATGGGCTGTTCTATGTAGAAGACACACTAGTGGTCAGGAACGACACTTCAGAGACCATTTCCTGCTCCATCTACAACCGTGACCTCAAAGAGGCCAAGGAGGCCACCATTGTCCTGCCAGGTCAGTGCTCTGCTTCGAGCACCACGAAGGGGGGGGGCTCAGCAGTAACCCGTATTTTCTTTAATCATATTTAAATAATATGTTAAAATTCATAAAGATTTTTATAAGAAAAGCATATGGTGCACTTTGATTAGATGGCAGTTCATAGTATTTCAGTAATTTTCAAGTTCTATGTTTTACTCCAGTGTTTGTTTTTCCTCACAGATGTCCAATACATTGGAAATACAATAAAAATAGTCCTCCATCTGAGACATGTCCCTGTGCCATGCCAGTTACTTCCAATTACATGCTTAGTCAGAATGGGATGGCTTCTTTAACAGCTTCTTAATTGTAGTCTTGTCAATAAATAGTAACAAAAACAATAATCAAAATACACAAAACCATAGTGTGGACATGTTTCCTATGTTGTCAGAAGTTAGAGCAGGGAGGAGAGAAACACCGAACAATTTTGGTAGCCCAGAAAAATCTTCATGCTCAATGATAAACATCTATTTACTGTCTAGTATCATCTATTACCTACCTATCTTATCTACCTAATATATCAATCATATATCTGCCATTTATTACCTATCACTCATATATCTAATCTGACACCTAGCTATCTACCAATCACCAACATCTATTAACCTATCATTGACCTATCATCTATCTATAATATCATAATCTATCAATCACATATCTTTCTAAATATCTAACATCAACCTGTCTGTCATCTGTCTGTCTGTCTCTTTTCTATTTGAAAAAGACCTTTGTTTTCCTTTTGAGACAGAGTCTCAGTCTGTACTCCAGACTGGCCTCAAAACTCACAGCAATCCTCTTGGCTGAGCCTCCCAAGGGCTGTTTACTATAGGTTGCACTGACACACACAACTAGACTTTGCTATTATGTGGCAAGTATTGTCTCTAAATACCTTAATTAAACTGATACTTTTAGGATACTCTATTGTTTTTCTTTATTTGTTTGGGCCTTTTAAAATACCAATATCCTATTCAGATTACAGCTCCACCTTTGCCATCAGCTCCTAGACTACTAGAGCTGAAGCCTGAGGGAATTCTGTTCCCTCAGGCACTGACTCTTCCAAAGCTCCCTAGGAAACTTATTTAAATCTCTGTCCCTGCTAAAGTACTTTAGATTCAAAATTAAGGTAGAATCCTGCTTCCCAGAGAGACCGAGCAGCAAGCAGCTCAGCTAGCTCACCTCCTCGTGTCTCCCAACAAGACCTCCTGCTCATCCTTGCCTTCCTTATAAACCTCTACCTGGCTTCTCCCCACAACTTCCTGTCAGCTGGTTGCTGACCCAGCCTCCTGACTGCAGGTGAATTTTATTTAACCAAACACATCTTTGCATCATTAAACAAATGTTCCAGAGCATAAACAAAAGTAACACACCTTACGTTAATAACACTCTGGATGTGTTGTTGATGTGAGCAGCTAAAAGTAAGTGTTGTGTTAATGCTACATCAGCGTCATAGAGTCCCAGTTTGGAATTCTATGTGATACTTGTTTGTGGCCATATACTTCATACTTAGCATTCATTTATAAAAATAATATATTTTTTTAACCATCACTTAATATCAGAAGAAGCAAACTGAACTGACAGTAATAGAATTGACAGCTTTTTGTTGTGAAAAAATATGTATTAGCAGATGATCCTTGGGAGAGAATTATTTACTACTTTTCATATTTTTCAAGAAAGATTGAGCTCTTAAATAAAATGTAAAGCTTACCTTTATTTCTGGGGATGGTTTCCTTCCTTCCCTTTTGACTAAATTCCTTAAAACATTTTTCTTCCTTCTCCAGAGAAACTGCAGACAGAGCTGGGTGAGTGAGAACCTCATACACACCTCTCCCTGGGGGTGGGGGCAGAGCATGGAAAGCCACTGGAACACTTCATAACCTCTGTGTGAGAGAGAGGCAGGGCTTCCCTGTGCTGGTGCAGATGGTATGAGAAGGGAATGGAAAGGCACAGGCCTCCACAGTCTCCTTCAGACACGGTTGCAGGGAAGGGCTTCTTCAATGTCTGTTGCTACACTCCCACCTGCCACACACTTTTAGCCCCTGACCAGAGGGTGGTGTGGATCCCCGCACCCAACCTAACCCCTGCTCACACAGCATGATCACCAAAGAGCCTTCATTTAATCCCACAGCAAGCTTAGGAGTAGCAGTGGGTAAATTCCTATAGTTTAAAACTCCAAAAACTGGTCTGGTGTGTAAAGTCAGTCAGATATGAAGTGATGGAGGATTCATTTTATTCTGAGAGTTTTAGCAGTAAAACCATCTTGGTGTGTAGCCTGAGCTTAAACTAGTGCTCTCTTCAGACTAGCAAGGCTTTACCTGAAACTCCACCCTGTGAGCCTGTGAGTCCCACCCTCCTCCAAATGTGACCCTGAGACTCATTCCTCCCCAGGGGTGCTTGCAGGTTCTGGACCTCACAGGAGATGCCTGTGTTGGTAGAGTTGCTTCTCCATGTTGCTTCATTCCTGTTCTCTGTCTGGTTTATTTAACAGCCACCTCAAGAGTGACTGGACCTTCCCAGCCCATTCTTGTCCGAATCGGAGAGAACATAGAATTAACTTGTCACCTGTCACCTCAAGCTGATGCTCAGAGCATGGAGGTGAGGTGGGTCCGATCCCACTATTATCCTGCAGTCCATGTGTCTGTGGACGGGGCCCACTGGGCTGGAGAGCAGATGGCGGAATACAGAGGAAGGACTGTGGTGATGCCTGATGCCATCCATGAAGGGAAGCTGACCCTGCAGATACATGATGCCAGAATTTCAGATGATGGGGAGTACCGGTGCCTTTTTGGGAAAGATGGTGTCTACCAGGAGGCCCGTATGGATGTCCAGGTGATGGGTAAGGATTCCAGACAGGTCTTTGGCCTCTCACACCTAACGCTGTGACAGATGCTGATTCCTGGGAGATGTCTCTGGCACCCAAAATACTCACCATGCTCATTCATTTTCCAGTTTATATTGAACTTTCAGTGTAGTAACCACCATAGATACTTCAAGATCACAACTTCAGGAATGATATTTTGAAGTTTTTAAATAAATATATTTTACTACTTCTGTTAACATGAATAATAAAAACCCAGAGACAAATATTGGGTTTCAAGTTGAAGACCAGAATAGCAATGCAACCAAGCCACTAGCTCTTACTGTAGACCAAAGATGGGTGATCCTGTCTCCAGGAATCCTCAGAGTGCAATGCTCTCCCTGACTGGAAACTAAACCTCACATGAGACCCTTTGCTCTTCCTTTTAACCACCCTAGTGCTGGGATTAAAGGTGTGAGCTCTGTTATTCTTTTTGACTGATTCACTATCGAGTAGCCCAGGGTGGTCATGGACACGCAAAGATACATCTGCTTCTGTCTTCTGAGTCCTGGGATTAAAGGTGTATTCCACCACCACCTGGCTTCTCTGGCTAGCTAGTATGGCTGCTGGGATTAAATGTGTGTATCACCACTGCCTGGCTCCATGGCTGTGGCTAGCTTTGCATTTTGATCCCCTGTGGCTTTATTAGATCATAAATAATATATCACCACAAATTATCTGAGAATTTCAAACCATGCATTTTTATCATATTCACCCCCAACTCCCCCCACTTAACTCTCCCAAGATCCACCCTCCCTTCATTACCCTACAACTTCCTAGCCTCTTTTTTTTATTATTAATTTAATAACCCATCAACTCCAGTTCTTGCTGTCCAGATACTCAGGGGGGTGGAGCCATCCACTGGAGCATTATCAGCCAACCAGGAGCCACACCCTCAGAGAGAACTGTCTAACCCCTTCCCTGAAGCCAACTGTCCACAGCTCCTCAGCTGGGGCGGGGCTCGTCATCCCTCACTTCTATGCTGAAGGGATTGGTCTTGTGCAGGTCTTGTGAGCTCAGTGGTCCTGTCACAGTCAGACTGTTCCAGTGCCCACCCCAAACCTCTGACTCTTACAACCTCCCTACTTCACCCTTCCATGGTGGTGGCTCAGCCCTGGGTGATGGGAGCCGGACACAGATGTCCCACTTGTGGCTGAGCACCCCCAATGACACTTCTCTGCACTTTGACAGT